CTGAACACTACAGCTAGCTGATGGGAGGGAGGGGTAGGGGGACAGGGTGAAAAAGCGGAGCGATCAGTGGGACGCTCTTGATTTTAGTGCGAAACGGAAACTAAGCTACTTCTTTGAGTCCCCCCCCCCCTCTGAAACTTGGATAAGAAAAGTGTATTAAAGATAAAATCTTGTTATGTACTTCACCGATGCGCGAATACCTCGTTCTGTTTTTTGCTTCACTTCAAAGGTAAAATAAGTCAAAAAAATTTCAGGAATACCCGCAGTGTGGCTGCCTGCAATGGCTTTATAACCAGGTGACTTTTACTGTTTGGTTTCAGGATGGTCCACAAATTCGAAGCAGAAGATGAAGATCCGAATGTGTCGAAAGCAAAAGACGCTAACTTGCGTGAGGAAAGTGAGGATTGGTATGACATCCATGATCCGCGGAACAAGATGAATCAACGGCGGCGTGGAGAAATCTAGAATCCTCGCGAAAGCCTCCATTGTACAGATTCGTTGGCACGGCCTCTTCTGATCTCTACTTCACACTCCTATATGTCTATGCATTAAATGTTTGTCGTTGAAAATTTGTACTTCTGGCTCGACATTGAGACTGTAGCCTTGTAGTGATGCTGAATTGAGGGTAAAGTCTTAGATATGGAACGATTTTTCTAATGTGATGTTTTCTTTTCAAAGGTTTTGTTTATTGGTCGAATCGGTTTTCCCAGCAGTTTTCGCAGAAAGCCCTTCGGAAACTGACTTACCCTCGTATGAATATTGTAATTTTTATTCTGCGCCTACTCCGAGAGCAAGGCTCAACAGTTTTTGGTAAACTAAATAAAGAATGTTGCACAGTTGTATATTTATTGTTTTTTTTGGCAAAATTTAATGTTCTAAATGTTACCTATTCTGTTGTTATGTAATCGAATGGCAGACGGTGTGGCTCGTGAGCAGCGCCACTGTGGAAGAAGGCATCTTGGTGGAAGGATCTCTACATTATCCTCCTTTCACGTGTTGGAGAGAACGAATAACAGTCTCCTAGTCATTTGAAAAAAAGAGAAGGTATAGGAAATGGAATGGTGCAACGCCATGCCTATATTTGACAATGCAGGCCATGCGATGTATAGTATTGTTCGTTGCATATGGACGTGCCAGGCGACGGGGTTGG